AGAGATTCGTCTTACCTTTCGATTCTATTTTTCCACGCGCTTTTTGAAGTTCCCTCGTGTACTGCGCAATGTGACTTGGACAAAATCTCTCCTCGTACAGTACACACGGCTCAGTTTTAGGGTCTTCTCCGGCTCAGCCGATGAAGTGGTGTCGTGCAGGCCCGTGGACGGTGGCGCGGGCACCCCCGCGGGTGCCAGGAAGGCGTTCTGGGAACTGAAAGTTGGGTCGTTGACGCAGGTCGGGTTTGCCAGGCTTAGAAGAGCGGGAAGCACTTACCAGGCAGAGGAATCGCCTGTGAGGAACCGCCAGAAAGTAGCCCGGCGGGTGCGGCGAGCGGGCCGGTCCGCACGCGGTGGGCGCAGGTGGCTGCAGGGCAGGGACTTTGTTCTGTGGACAGTGGAGAGCCGGGGACTCGGCAGAATCGATTACTGCCTTGTGATTGAGGCGGTATACTGAGTGACCGCTGCCCAAAGCCTGCTTCACTCCTTTCCTAAGAATACATGTTTTAAAATCTAAGTGTTTAAAACTATAGACAAGCCCAGCAAGTACAGACTGCACGAGCATCTCATAAACGTCCCCTCACCTCTGCAGAAGCCTTTCGAAGCACCTTTCGGCGTTCTTCGGGCCTGCCTTCACACCTGCGGTGTTCAGTAACCCCAGCAACGGCAGGTTCGCCTTGAAGAGCGCCCTGGGTAGAAGTGTGGGCCGCCCCGGCCGCCCGCCAGGGGGAAGGAAGGAATGCGGCCCTGCTGGGTGCTTGCGGGAAAGCCTGGAACCCAGCACGGGCCGTGGGTTTTTCTCTCGGAACCGGATGTTTTCTGAACAGCTCGTTGGCGCCCCCCAGTGGGCAAGGGCTAGAATACAGCTTTAAAGGCTTTTGAAGGGCAGGTCCAATTGAACTGTCCTTCCTCAAGTCCTGTATCTGTTATTTCAACCATTCTTTCCCTGAGACATTTAAGAGGCATCCAGTATACAGGTCTTTCTCCTGCATTTTGAGGCAGCGCAGTGTAGTGAGGAAAACACCAGTTCTGGCTCTTCAGACTTAGTGACCTTGGAAGTCCCATTTCCTCTCTGAAACTGTCCCCCCACCCCGCACCGCTGCTTTTATTTTTTGACTCTTCCGTATTTCTAATGTCCATAGTCTTTTCATGGAATAATTGTTTTAATATTTACCCATTGAACCTGTAATTCAGATTGGCATCAATCTGGGTAAAGAAAAAAATCTCATATTTTGAAAATTCAGGAATCACTGAACCCATCTATATATGTCAATGAAAAAATAAGTCCATATCATCCAAATGCATATTCATAAGAATGTCTCAGAGGCTTTAAATCGCAATCATATGGTGTGGTGGAAAGAGCTGGCCTTTGCAGTCATAGTCCTATGAGTTTATTCTGCAGTCATATGAGTTTAAGTCCTGTGCCTGCCACCTTCTGTGTGGTTTTGATAAGGTGCTCTCCTTGCCTGAGCCTGTTTTCTCATTAGTGCAGTGGATGTAGCAGTTCTTACTTCACAGGGCTAGCGTAACGTTACCTGATGTCGTATCTGTAGAGCAGCGAGTGGACACTAGGGCTGCCGAAAAAGAGCAGAACTCTGCGCACTGGAAGTGCATGTTTCTGTTGGCTCTGCAGCTTACCTGTTTACCTTGAGCACATCACTTCTGCTCTGAGACCCGGATTCTTCTGTCAAACAGGAACTGTAGTTTCTTAGAGTTATACAGTTACAATGACATAACCGCCCCAAAGCACCTGGCGCCTCACTAAGCTCAACAAATGCTAGTTCCTTTCTTTCCAGAAGTACTGACCTGTTACAAATAATTACAGAATCAGTTATAAAGCCAAAATGATGTCCCCCCGTGAACTCTCTCCCACTCCTTGCGTGTCTCTCTCACACACACACACACACACACACACACTGACTCACTTGTTGCATTCCCACCTTATTTTTACCATCTCTGTCATCAAAAGTTAACCAACACAAGAATATTTGGAAACTTAAAAAGGAACAGCAAAGTTATTTTAGGATTGCTATCATACATGTTCATTCCTTCCACCAGGTGCATGGGTCCTTACTTGAACAGTTGTGCACTTCCCTGTCCCCCACCTCAGCTGCAAAGCTACACAACTATATCACTTGTCGAGGTAGGCAAATCATAACTAAAGCCAAAAGGTTTCATTGGTTTACTTATACTAGGTTTCCATTTGTATTGTCAGGGCTGGGGCTCAGACCTTTCAAACCCATTGTCTGGGTTACCATACCCCTCACCTGTCTGGCTGGATCACCAGACCCCTCACACACAGGTCCACGCTGAGGTAACTGGGAAAGATCCCTGGAGCCATTGGCAGACGACATGAGTTCAGTCCTCAGCAATAGCAGCAGCAGCTTACAGGTCCTGCGGTGGCCTCCTGGAGGGTCCTGGGGGCCCTGGCAGCAACAGCTTGCAGCAACAGCCACCAGCAGCAGTAGTGGCCTCCCTGTGGCCCCCTCAGGGGCATCATAGGGGCAGGGGGGCGCCATGGATCAGAGCCACTCATCCTTTGTACTTAAGTCCATAACCCAGGTGTCACCTGGGTGCACATATGCAATTACATTACTCAATAGCCAAGGAACACCTGGGCGCACGTGCATATTTACATCAAATGCTCAGCAAGATTCTGAACATCTGAGGGACCCTGACCATTTTCTTGTATTTTCCCAACACCAGCTGCCCCCATCTTGCCATGGCCCCCCTTCTCCAGTCATAGTAACACCAGATCCTTGGCCGGACCCTATCTCGGTCACTCTTCCCTCCAGCTGCAACTCCTGTTCTCCAGCCCACTCCCCCCACCAACATCTCTATCCCCACTGGTCATACTCCTGCTCCTCCACATTCTGGATTCTAGCTCAGTGGGTGTGTTATCAGAGAAGTCCTCCCAAAGCTCCTCCCCCCAGCAAGAAGTGATTGCTGCCACGATTGTGCTTCAGAAACATCTTTCTCTGGGAAGAGATCAGGAAAGGGAATTAATGTGCACTGAGTCCATGCATATGTTAACACTTTTGGCCTTCCAAATAACCTTCTCGGGTAAGTACCACTCTCCATTTTACAGATGAGGATACTGAGGGAATATTCATTCCTTGATTAAACAAACATTTCTTGGACATCAGTTGCCAGGCCCTAGGATACAGCAGCAAACAGCAGACAGCCCCTTCCTCATGGATCTTACAGGATCTTAAATGGGATGAATCCAGGAGGCAGGAATGAGACCAATAACAGACTGTTCCAATTGTGCAGAAGGGTGCTGTGAAAGGGCAGAAGAGGACATACCCAGTCTCGGAGGTTAGAGAAGATGTCCTTAGAAAAATGACATTTCAGCTGAGACCCAAAGGCTCAGGGAGATCAGCCAGGTAGGTAATGAGGGCAGAAGTGGTATCTAAATGTGGGTGAGTTCGGTCCCACCATGCCTCATGGCCTCCCCTCCTGTAAAGATTTGCATGTTTATCATTGTATTTTAGCTTGCGATCCACATTTCCTTCTACCCAATTGATTGTAGCTCTTTAAGAACAGCAACCTCGTCTCCCAGGCATCTGGTACATAGCACAGGTAATAAGCATAAGTAAATGGCTATTTAATTTTTCAATATATGTATTGTATTTCATTACCTGTATTTAATAATATTGCAGGGATGCAAAAGTGCCTAGATTCTGCCCTGTGTATTATTATTTCTTTAGCCAGCACATTTGCATGGTTTGCCGATAGAAAGATTCTCCAAGCACCTGGGCACTCCCATGCTCTAGATCCTTGTATTCAGTTGTTTCCTGTTTGATAGGTTGGGGCGATGCAGGTCAGCATGCAAGAGATGTAGCAGCTGCAGTCAGCTCTGCAGCAGGTGGAACTTGGAAGCAGCTCATTCATCTAATTAAAATGGCATTCAAGTTGTCCTCCCCTAATGCTGAATGGCACAGGGCTCATTACCAGCCTGCTACCCAGACCATAACTGGAGATGAGAGAGGAGCCATTACCCTCTGGTTACCCTGAGCCAGGCACTGCTCTAGGGGTGGGGTATACAAAGTGAAAGCACATGTAGTGACTCAATGAGTATTTCTTTTTCCTGATAGTTAAGCAACTCTCGGTATAGTAGGGCCAACAGACACACTCAGAACACATGCACACAGAGATGCACAAACCAGTACACTCCATGCAAGAATCAAGATGTGCATAGGTGGAGAGAGTGGCTGCCTCCATGGTGGGTGGGGTGGGAGTGTCAGGAGGTCTCCCAGGCAGGTGGAAGTCATCTTGTCTGAATTGGGAAAATGAATGGTAATTAGCCAAGTAAAGGAGAGAGGGACAGGGTGAGGTAGGAGCAGGCTTATGGGCAAGGGTCTCAGCCTGTGCAGAGTCCCAGAGGGAGAGGAAAGGACACATTTGGGGTCTATAAATGCCCACAAATCTAGGCAGGTTATTGAATGCCAGTTTGATTATTCTTTACTTCCATTGAGAAATGTTTTCCCTCCTGCTTTTCTTCACTTATACCCACTTAAGTTATTCTTCATTCTCCCATCCTTTATTGAAACTTGGCTAAAAAGTTGTTCTCTAAAAAACCCAGCAGTCCAAATCCAGTTATCATACCTGTTGGTAAGTGACACTTGGATCCTGTTGGTGAGACAATTGGGAGTGGTGGGGACTGGGGCATACTGAAGAGCATATTCTCCATCTGAGGAGGACAGCCGTTCTTTAATTCCAGCTGCTCAGTGGCTCCCGATCTTGCAAGTTTTCAGAAAAAAGCAAGTAACCTGGATTTTTGGCAAGATAGTCAAGTTTTAAACAAAGCCTTAATGGAAAAAAAAGAAAACTTGCAGGCCAAACGGAACACATCCTCATGCTAAGCCTTATTCATGGGGCGCATTTGCAACCTTTTGTTCAAAGGCTCCAGAGGTCCCAAGAGTATTTCCAGAATCCTTTATCAAATTATTGCTATGCTTGTAGTTTCTCCTAACCTCCCTTCTCCCCTTGCCTTCCAGAAAGAGATGACGAGCAGGATGTGTCACTAATGCTCCCTCTCTTCCGGAAGAAAGGAAGGCTGTTTCCTCCAGGAGTTCCGAGGGGGCAGGAGGTAGACCTACCTGGCTGAAATGGCACACCTACTTCCAGGAGCAGGAGCAGTGGAGACCGGCAGTGACTCCCGAGAGACGCTTCCCACGCATTCCCTGTGCTCTTAACCCTCTGAGTGCTGCTAGCCAGGACCTATGGACCCGGCAGACCACAACGTGAAGAAAGACCAGCCCTTGACCCTCCTGGCTCGGGCATCATCCAGAAAGAAGCCTGTGCACTCCCGGGAGTGTCACAGTTCTGCCTGCGACCTGCCCGCCGCCTGAGCTTGACTGGAATTCAGGTTTTGAGACTGAGATGCTCACTTGTACTTTTCCACTTACCTGTTTTGTCAGCTGGCCGGCTTTTCTGTAATTTGTTTCTAAACACCAAGTGAATTTTGGAGCTCTGGATGCGCAGCAAGTTTATCTGTAACAAGCCTTCCTTTGGGGTTTGTGAAATCTCCCGCTCTGATCCTGTGGCTTCACATTGCCTGAGCTTGACTGGAATTCAGGTTTTGAGACTGAGATGCTCACTTGTACTTTTCCACTTACCTGTCTTGTCAGCTGGCCGGCTTTTCTGTAATTTGTTTCTAAACACCAAGTGAATTTTGGAGCTCTGGATGCGCAGCAAGTTTTTCTGTAACAAGCCTTCCTTTGGGGTTTGTGAAATCTCCCGCTCTGATCCTGTGGCTTCACATGGTGCAGGGATGTGGAGCTGTGACAGATCTGAAGCCACACCCAGTGGCATCCATATATTTCCTAATACGCAGTTTTATCAGGGACCACTCCACCGAGTGGCTTGTCTCTGCCCCAAACAGGGCCTACACAGGGAAGAGACTGGTCACTAGCATAGAGCTGACAAGTTACCAGTTTGCCCTGATCAGAATGTACTTTTTATAATCACCATCATTCCTTGTCTCTTCCATTATTCTTTCCTGTTTCCCAGAAGAGAGAAAAAAAAGTTATAAATGACCAAGAATAATCAGCAGGAGCCCTGAGCCAGATTAGTGCACTGTTTGTTCTTTATTAAAGGGCGGGTAGTCGTGGCTGTCTCTGCATTAATACTAACATTTCAGCGAAAAAACAAAAGTACAGGGGGTTATCTGGTGCCTGCAGATGAAACACCCAGCCCATTGGCTTGTAAACTTTTCAGCTGGCATGTTTTCTTCCTCCTCTGCACTCTGCCCTCCTCTGCCATGTTATATTATGGCACAAAATTAATTTCTGCCTCTGTGATTGTGCCCCAGTTGCCAAGGTAACAGTGGAGCTGGAGCTAACTGCCTTCTTCCATCCCTTCCAATTTTTCTATTCCAGCAGACAGTCAGAGCACTGCATTCTGTACTGCATCCTGCCTTTTGGAGCCTAAATCACTTCTAGTTGATGAAATGTTGCCTTCTCTGATTCCTTCACAAAACCGTGGTGGTCCTGACAGCCTGTGACTAGGGGTTAATAACAATCTTTCCAGTGATCCTTTGAATTTAACAAAATAGCAGTTGGTAGAGGGAAGTAGATAAGAATGTATTAGCGCATTTTAATGTAATAATGATTAAAGAATAATTAAACAACTCTGATTCTGTTTTTTCATACATATAACATGCTAAAGCCATTTGTGGCTCCCACAAGAGCCTAGAAAGCATGAAATCTTTGTCCAGACTGAGAAAGGGCTGCCTGCGTGGGCAC